CAACAACTCATCTAAACTGATTATTAAACTCTGCATCAGAACTTTTCCTCTTTCTTGCTGCAGCTAATCTCAAACTGTAAAAAAAAAAGTGAAAGTTCAGGCCTTTTAAAAGATGATTCTGTGAAAACGTTATAAACAATTAGTATCTTATTTATTGCAGATGGCTCTTGATCATCTTAGTTAAAAAAAAATGGACTTCATTTCTGTCTGGATTGATGACCTAATGGTTAGTTTGAGTAAGACCAAGATCAAAATGGATTCCTGCCATCTTGAAACAACTCAGTCCTAAAAATGTTGTGGTGTTTTGTATGAAAGTTGTTTTATAAATCTTCACAAAGTCATCAAATGTGCATTATATTGTTAATTGGGCAATAATATAATGAAAATATATCTAGGACTGAACTAGTCAGCTATTTGCACTTGAAAATGTAAAAAGAATTGTCAGTAGTGTGAAAGTTTGTATAGTGTTAGCACAAACTGCTATAAAATTAGAGTTGTTTCAAGATACCATAATGCATTTTGGTCTTGGTCCCACACATCTAACTGTAGCTCATCAGTCAAGTTACACTGTATTTATTCAAACTGGGGTTCTTCAAAGTACCATCTAAAATAACGGCAGCTGCTGTGGTCTTTATTACCATCAAGCTGCTGACTGGACCTGCTAACAAGACCTGCTAAGCTACTAACAAGACCACTACGCTAACAGAACAGAGCCATGATGTTGAAAGAACCTCACTGTAAATGTATATCTTTTTCAACTTTGGTGTCATATATATATATATTTTTTGCATTTTGCATTTTAGTAGTATTTTTAGTATGTTTTTAGAATTTTTGTTGCAAGCTTTGGTATTTCATTTTTTTTTTTTTTTTTTTTTTGGCGAGTCGAGACGGTTCATCTCCTCCTAAGCATTCCATTGCATTGTTGACCTTGTGTTGATTTTGCATATGACAAATAAATCTAACCTAAACAGGTAAGACATTGTTTGTTCATAACTGTTCTACTTCAGAAGATCTGAAATTTTCCTTTTTATTTGTCAGTAAATTAGACTCATAACAAGCTGCACATTAAGGTTTTGATTCCTGCTCCATGTCAGATCAAAATACTCAAAAATCTAATAGCAAAATATTAATAAATAAATAAAAACAAGGAGGACAAGCTGTGAGTTACATTATACTTCTAAAACATACTTTGCTTTTATTGGTCATCTCACACTTACAAGACAAATTGGATCTTGATGTTCAATAAACTCATATGGTTATATTTTTGACATTAGGGCTGAAAATGACTGACGTTAAAGAAGGGGAATATAATGTACTCACCCTTTTGGGTCCAAAGAGGTTATGGTACAGAGTTCTGAATCTCTTCCTGGTGTAGTTACATCGATATGCTCCACCCATGAGGTATTCAATGACAAGCCCAATGTCGATGAGACTGATGCGATAGTCCGGGGGCAGGTTTCCCTACAAACCAGACAGTGTTTACAGGCAACAACCCCACACCAAGGGATTAACAAAGGGAAGGGGAACAAGAACCTCACAGTCACACACATACATGTCACAAAAATCCATCACAAATTGTTTTTTTGGCTACAAAAATAAAACGTGATTATCGGATTCACCTTGAAGTAGATCCAACTGAACCCTGGATATTCTCGCTTGGAAAGAACACACAATGTCAGTGAGTAAAACGCACGATAAGCAAGAGCAGGGGAAATGAGGTACACAGAAACTCTCAGGCAAGATCTCTCTTCCAGTCTTTCGTAAAAATTGTAGTTTAATTGCGTAGGACAGTGGGTTTATGAGTTGAATGTAGAAATCATAGGTGATAGTTTGATGTGGTTATTTGATAATATTCCAACTAATAAAGTAAAAAAAATCTCCAAGCTTTAGCCAATACAACATCTAGCTTTGTAGTATTTAAAACACCAAACTTTAGAAGATGAAGCAAATCCCAAGTGTTTGAATTAGCCTGTGTTTGAGGGCAATTTCAGTGGAAGTGAAGAATTGGATCAGTTGTCATAATTTTCATTTGGGGAAATAATGAGATCTAAGTAAAAGTCAATAATGTCTTGAAGTGAGAAGATAAGAGCGATGGAAATGACTCATTAGCCTGGAAGAGAGCAGCAGTAGCATGGAGCGATACACAGCTACCAACGCTTGAGGGGAAAGTCATTATTGAAACAGAAATTCTTTCATGTGAGGCCTAAAAGTCTGTCAATACTCATTGCTCCTTCTCGTGCCTCTACCCTGAACCTTAAAGCCTGCAGGTATTATCCTGGTCCCCACTGTTCCGCTGAAACACACGGGTTTCCTCACATATTTAATACCGACTGTGGCAAATGTGGTGACTGAGCAGGAAAAAAAAAAAAGAGTTTTCCGCACTTCTGCTCACAAATCATCACTGAGGCAGGATTTTCCAATGTGAGGAATATGCATAAAATTCACCTTGAAGATAAAGATCATTTTAAATTTTACATTTCCTACTGTCTTTGTGGACATAAAACTATCCTCGATGCATCTTTCCAGTGCACATCATTCCAACAGACCATTAACTCTTCTATGTTCACTGGAAGACCGCAAATTTTGTACAAAAAGGACTTTTTTTTGTGACAAGTTCCCTTCAGTAAAATGTTATGATTCTTGCACATCTCTCTCAAGATTATTCTGATTTTGGGATGACTTGGCTGAAGAAACAAGTCCTGCATTAAATCGGTCTTTTATCCTTTAAATAAAATTTCTGAGACATTTTTGGAGGGAGTCTGACTTCTCACTCCAGAAGAAGGTTTTTATTTAATTTTAAAATCTTCAAAAAGCAGTAAATAAAAAAAGTGCTCTTACACAACAGATTTCTTGGATGTGTTTTTATTTTTATTCATGTATTTTGTTTTCCAGTCTCTTCAGTCTCTTACCTTCATAATTGAATAGTACTGGTGCACTTGTCCTTGCTCCCGCTAAAATTCAAAGTATCCTCGGTAATTGTTTTAACTTTAAGTGAATGCACACCGGGAGTTCACAGTGTTACAGTGTTATCATATTTAAAGAAGGGCACAATCTCTAAACAGCTTTGTACTAATGAAAATCTTGAAGTTTTTAAACTAACTTCAGCTACAGCAACAATTTAAAATAGTTGCTGTGATGCCACTTTACAATAAGGCTTCCCTTATAAAATAGAATAGAAACAGCCTTTATTGTCCCACGGATGGGAAATTCAGTGTAACAGCAGCAACAGCAGCAATAGATAAAAAGATTCACACAAAAAGTTCCTGATGTTAAAAAGAATATATAAAGAAATAAGATAAACAATATCAATAATAATGTTCAATATGTATTGGAACATTGATAAGGACAGACTATGTACAATACCGAAGTATAGGCAGAGTGTGTGTTTTAGCAGAGGTCAGCATGTATTTAATACTTGAGTTTGTTGGGAGCAGTGATGGTTGTAGAGTCTAACAGCTGCTGGGAGATATAGATGGCTAATAAATAGTATATAGATATGTTATTAATTCCTCTATAAACACTTTATAAATCATTAATAGCTGCTTATAATGCATTAATTAAGGGTGACAGAGACACAACTGACCATTTTCTTGCCAAATAGAGAGCCAAATCTGTTCACCTATATATTTCATCTAGAGTTGTTATATTAAACATTTCAGACCAAGTTACTAACTCTTAAGCACAATAAGCATTTGTAAACCTATTTCTTTAACATATAATATTGCACTTTATCACTGCATCACAAGTATCTACAACTAATATTATATCCTAAAAAAAAAAGGTTTACAAATGCTTATTGTGCTTACAAGGTAGTAACTTAGTCTGAAAAGTTTAATATAACAACTCTAGATGAAATATATACGGTAGGTGAACAGATGTAGTTCACTATTTGGCAAGAAACGGGTCAGTTTTGTCTCTCTGTCACCCTTAATGCATAATAAACTATTATTAATGATTTATAAAGTGTTTATAGTGGAATTTATAACGTATCCATAAACTATTTATTAGCCATCTAAGGGGAACCTTATTTTAAATTGGCACCATTGAGTTTAATGTTTCCAGGGTTTCATTCTGGCTAATGATCTAAAATCAATTTCACAGATTACTTTCACAGGGCCAATCATCAAACCAGTCTCAAACATGTCCCGTCAAATCTGGAAACCTTCCAGATCCTTTCTTATTTTTGAGACATAGCTAGTTGTACTGAGGCCAACTTTTGGCTGCAATGTTCACCTTCTCGACAGGACAGCAGGTTTATGCTTTGGCAGCTGCAGTCGACGAACCACTCTCTTTGATTCTCCTAATTCTCGACTCGCCTTTGATTCACTCTAATGAAAGGACCAGGTTACCCTGAAGGCAGCTTACGTTGGCTTTTCCAACTACTATCACCATAAAGCTCAGAAAAGAAGAACCGACAGCTGCTGATAGAATGGCGAGACAATCCTTAGGGAATAATGAGAAAGAAACCAGCGATGACATGGTGACTCCACCCGAGGGATAGCAGTTAAATCTAATTAGCATCATACGTGGACAGGACAACGACCCACAAACATTTAGCCACTCTAATACATTTACACACACCTCTGAAACAACAGGATGGTAATTTGCCATGCACTAAAGTGTGTTTGGCAGTGTGGTGAAACTGAGAAGGGAAATATTCGCGCTGTATTTTTCCTACATAAACGTGAAATTCGATTATGTTTAAAGAAGTGTCATCAGCTCTCAAAGGAGAATGTGTGGACATCAAAAGTTACATGTTAATCCATAAACATCTTTTAAATGCTAACGGTATTGTTGACCTTTCTATCATCTCAAATGGTACGATCTCATCTATTGGCATGCAAACACAAACTGCATTTAAAATACAAGTTGTTGTGTTGAAGGTTTGGGCACTGAAAGCCAGTTTGAGATATATAATCTGATTATTTTCATTTACATAAATGAACAAAAAAAACAAAACAACATATAACGAAAACTTTTTTGTTAAAGAGATTGTGAGAGACAATCAAATTCATGACATGTTTGCTTGTCTAAACTGAAAAAAAACACACTTAAAATGCTTTAATATTAAAAGTAAAAACAACTGAATAGAACGCCATCTTGGTTGTTTTTGATAAGACGTGCAGCCTTTTTTACTGCGGCCTCACTTTGCTTAGTTATCAGACATTTACACTCAACATGAGCATGAATGTCATCAATTTTGGACTTTACGTTCATTTTCCAGGGTGGAATAGCTTAACAACATACAACTTCAATGAGTTTTAACAGCAAAACTTAACTGCACATGCTTGAATTTATTGTACATACTGGCTTAAATATAGACATAATACCACCAACTAATATTTAGTTAACTTTCCTTCTTCAAGCTGCACTTTACCCACATGAATTCCGTATCTATCAACAAGCTTCTTGTGTAATTTTGGCTGATATTTGGTGAAGCTGAATTATTTGGAGGTAGACCTCTTTAATCATGTTTCCATTCACTTAGTGCTATGCGTCAATACCACAGCATGATGCTAACACCGCCATGCTGGAAGGCTGGTAAAGTGATTTTAGGTTAGAAAGCCTCATCATGACTTCTCCAAACATGCTTTGTCTTTGTGACAGAATAACTCAGCCTTTGTCTCGTCTGACCACAAAACATTTGTTTCCCAGATATAAAAGTATTTTAGCTTGTCCAAATGAGCTGCTGCACATTTCAGTTTAGCTTGAAGGCGTTGCTTGTTAGGGATTCTTTCTTAGTCAGTGTGTGATGGTGTAAAACGTGCTTCACTGTGAACAGAGACACTGTTGTTCCGACAGTTTCCAGTTCATGACAGGCTTGAGATTTGGTGGGTCATAAAACAATCCTAAACATCCAAATGAGTTTCATATGAGCGTGATGGATGACTCTTGGTCAATCCAATGGGCAAAAATTTTTTTATCTTCTTATTTTGGCTGCTCCCCACCTTAAGGTCGCCACAACAAACTAACTCACCTGAAGATTTGGCAATTGTTTTTAGACCAGATGCCCTTCCTGATGCCACCACAGCCCACTGAGCTACTACAGCCCTCTGTGTGGAGCAGAGAGCTGCTATCTAGGACACCCGGGGGAGCAGATGGAGGTTAAGGGCCTTGCTCAAGGGTCCAGTGTGGAACAAATGAGGGTGAAGGCAGCTGCGGGTGATTCACCTTTCCCACCCACATTTTGATGTCAGTTCCGGGGTTCAAGCTGGCCACCTTCCGATCAGAGGCTTGCCTTCTCTAGCCTCTACGCCACCACTCCCCCCCACCCCCAATAAGCAGAAAAACAAATGTTTTTTTATGCTGACAAAGAGAAATTACCACCTGTAGTTAGTCTGATCACTACCTGGGGCGGTACGGGGCGGCTGTGGCTGAGTGGTTAGAGCAGTTGTCCTCCAATGCAAGAGTTGGGGGTTCGAATCCACCAGCAGTCACATGCTGAAGTGTCCCTGGGCAAGACGCTGAACCCCTAGTTGCCTCCTATGTGTGTCCCATCAGTGTATGAATGGTTAAATGAGGACACAGATTGTAGTGTAAAGTACTTTGAGTATTTTGAAATAAGATAGAAAGGCGCTATATACAGTAAGTACAGTCCATTTACCATTTTACCAAGAAGTTATGAAGCCTTGGTATGGTCAACAGCACTTTAAAAGATCTAGATGAATCTATTCATGTTTTTTTTAATCCTGTGTATAATTTGGTGTGGATATGGGAAATCCAGAAAAATAAATTAAGCATATACACTCAGTACTTGTTTGTAAAAATCATCAAAGTCATATGTTGTACAATGATTTCCTTCTGGACAAAGCACGGTTTTAATAAATGGTTAAACGCCTAAAGTTAATGCTGAACTTGACCTGATGTCAAAACTGACCAGATGGACAGAAACTGTCATTTCATTGATTTGAATCCAGAAATACAGTTTGACCCATCCTGAGACTTTCTCTCTTGAATTAATCAAGTGGAAAAGACAATTCTCTATGATCATTACTATTTTACAAATGTTTTGATAATCAAATTGTGTTAGTTCAAACAATGTTTACATGTTGAAGTGAACTACTCATTTTTATTTACTTAAACAGTAGTAATGATTTTTATTCCTCAATTCAAAGTGAAATCAAGTTAGAGTACATTACAGAGTAATGATTCAATTTCTTGATCGTCTGCTTTGAAAGTGAGCAAAGTTGTAAGGGTGTTAAAGTTCAAGCTTCGGTCAACTAAAAAGTTTACTGAAAAGAAATGTCATGTTTAACTTTTACAGCAAGATATTTGGTGAGCGACGCCACGAAGTCTGGTTTTTCCATGATATCTTTCTGTCTGTTCTTAAACAATCCTTGACTTTCCATAACACCTTACATCACAAACCACACCTCTGTTCTGGTCCATCCACCAATCAAAAAGCTCTCAAATGAACCGGAAGTATAGCCCGTTTAAATGTGGCAACTTCCCAGTTCAACAGTAGAGTCACGTAGAGTTCAAGAATTTTGGAAACCAGAATGCAGAGAGTTTGGGAGTTCATGAATGCAAAACGCAGGCATTCATGGATGCTGCTAAACCAAACAAGCTGAACCAGAGACGATTTTGGGAATTATAACTTCTGTTTGGATAACCTCGCACGGCTCTCGAGGTATTTGGCTGTTCTCACTGAGACGCTGAACAGTGGTTGGAAGTGAGACTCCACGCCGGAACTGATCTATCTTCAGAAAAGGTAAAAGTCGACCTTCACCAAAAGTGTACTGTTTGGGACAAGCTGAGTTCCGAAGGAGCGTGCACGTTCTGGTTAAAACAAACAAATTCCCTCACACATCTCTCTGTAAGATAAATCTCAATTTTCCATCTTTAAACTCTCCTTTCTGCTAGAAAATTAATCCAGATGTTTTCATTAATGTCTGTGGTGAAGCAACGGAAAACCATGGCCGTATGGTTTTCCTGTTTGTAAAACTGATTAATTATGTTGTTGTTTTCATATTCTGCCAAATTAATGTAAATGTTTGATGTTAAACTTTGATTCTGTAAAATAAATGACCGCATTCATTTTGATGGGTCAAAGAAAAATGACGTCTCACGTTACATTTCATTAAATTCAATGCACGTTTTATCCAGTCCAGAAAGATGAGTGAACCCGTTTTAATTGATGAATATATCTCCGCATCTGTTCATCTACACACTCAGTACTTGTTTGTAAAAATCATCAAAGTCATATGTTGTACAATGATTTCCTTCTGGACAAAGCACGGTTTTAATAAATGGTTAAACGCCTAAAGTTAATGCTCACGATGAGCACATCTAAACGTCCAACTCTAAGTACAAGTTCTGTGGCTCTAACGAGCTTTAGCACACGTGCAGTTTGTTTCCCATGGTGGTGTGTGTTGTGGAGAAAGTAAACTAGTGATTCATGAAAGCGGTTGGAGTCGTGCAAAGCTTTTCAAAGACAGTGCAGCGTACAAATCCAGCCGAAAGAGAAAAGCCAGCCTCTATTTGAAATCACCATCGTCTACAGCTACCAATATACACACACACATGAACAAAAGCAAACAGATTAACTTACGCACGCCACAAAAAAGCCACAGAAACTCTCTTTAGTCAAACATGTCCTCTTCAATACACATAATATGCATCCAGTGTGCCTGAGCTGCTACAAAGCTACTGAGATGGCAGTGATAGCTGTACCTTTTTTACATCTCTGACAAGGTGATACAGCGTGTTTGATGGTCCGTGTCGCTGTTGAAAACAAAAAAAAGTAAAAATGATGCAGTGTAAATAAACCCTATTTACAACATTATATAGAGAGAGGTTGCTGTTACCGTGTTATAAAGCTCCTCCAGTCTGGAAAGTGTGAGGAAACGGTGCATACTGACTCCATTTTCAATCAGCAGCTTGACAAAGTCCACTCTGTCCAAAACTAAGGCATCCAGCATCGCCTGCTCCAGGGAACCAACCTGATGAACAAAAAATAGAAGAGCGTATTACCTTGAAAGGAATGCATGTAACGTTCAATTGTAATTCTCGTTTAAAGCACTTTATCAGTGCTTTATAAATCCATCAGTGTTGAATCAATTCTTATCAGTAAAACTGCAAGACACATGTTTTAGGTTAAACACCAGTTCATGTCTGAGACTCAGCGTTAAACCATACTGTGGTTATTTTTTCTTACAGGCCACTGCTGTCCGTAGATGAATATTTGACTGCGTGCAATGTCCACTCTGTTCCATGCAAGAGCCAAACTCAGCTGGTCTGGGGCTGAAGCGTTGGCACCTGTGAGAGATAAAGATGTTTCATGAAGTTTTACCCCCAAAAAATAAACATAAAAAATTATGACGACAGAAAGAAAGTTATGACATTTCACTATGTTCATCTGTGTATGTACCTCTGAATCCAAAGTTGTAACAATAAGGTCATTAGTGTGATTTATATTTTTATGATTTGGTTGCGTCGTCTTTAGTTGTGCAGCAATACTTTAATCAGAACTGTTCACAGATCTTTTTTTCTGTTCAGGTTATGGATGGGGAGTTCTTTTATTGATGTTCAGGTGAAGAAGGCAATAATTTATGATGAGCAGAGGCAGTGTATAATTTTGGGCTTCATCAGCTTGCACTCGACTGATGCACAGTCTTTTCTGCTGCTGCTTTCATGCGTTACTGTACTGACTGTCTGTAGACAAAAAAAACTGTAGCTGTATTAGGCAGCAATGGTTTGTTATTTGCTTGATGTAATTTAAACTCTACTTAGCCTTTGCATAAAATGTCTGCCAAGTTATTAATTTTATTCAAATTCAAACGTTTATTTTGCTTCTCGAGTGAAGGCTACATTAAGAATATAACTTATTGTCTGAGAAAATATCGACATCATAATGATCAACTATTTCAAACAAAGGTAGCACCCCCCCTCCCCCCACAAATCAAACAAAACTTTTAGGTTAGCTTTTTATGGTGTATTGGTGTATCGTGGTGCGTTTATTTGTTAACCTTTATTTAACCACAGAAGTCCCATCAAAATTCCAGATCTTTTTTTCAAAGGCGGTCTTGGTCTGTATGTAGCCTAACATGCATTAGAGTTGCATTCGGGCCTAGAAAATCTGACCCGGCTCTAGCCCGTAGTTTGTTTTTTTTTTCAAACCCGACTAGGCCCGATCATTTAACTGTAATTACAGGCCCAAACCCCAAAAAAAACCTAACATTTTTTAAATGTATTATGAAGCTTTTATTGCTTTTGTAAGCAAACCAGTTTGACATGATACTTTAACAACATATTTCAAAGAAATATATAATATTTCTTGTTTCACTCAGTGGACATTAACATACAAAACAAATAGCCTAAAAAAATCAACTCTAAAGACAGGCTATTATACAAATGAAGAAAAATATTTTTAGAGCAAAATTATTTGGAAAATATAGAACAAGGCTATTTTAATTGAACACGCTGCTCGCTTTGGCTTTTGCAGATGCTGCAACTTCCTTCACCGTAGATAACAGCAGGTGTGGAGACGCATGCGGCGGGTGATCAGCTGATCCATCTGACCTCAACTGGACATTTATTTTTTTTTTACCTCTTTCAACCGGTCAGTCGGACCTGCCTCCTCCTCAACAAGTAGATTAACACAATTTTATTTTGTGCATTCTTATTTAGTTTTATTTGTGCTGTATGATTCGTAAAACCGTATCAAAAGCCTGAGACTGACCCGTCCCACTCATCTAGCACATTATTTTGGCACAACCCAGCTTGAATTTTGAGTCGGGCCGGCCCAGGCTAGAAATGACAGCTCTAACATGCATCTGTGGGAGGAAACCTGAGTACCTGGAGAAAACCTACGCAAACACGCAGAGAACATGCAAACGACACATAGAATAGCCTCAGGTCCAAACTGGGACTTGGATCCAGGACTTTATTGGTGTGTGTCAACAGTGTCAACCACTAATCCACTAAGCTGCCTATAGAGATAAGTGGGACAGTTTTATTATGTACTTTTTTTTTAATAAAAGCTGTAATTTTTGCAGAAATTGTTAGTACTGAACTAAATCCAATCATTTTTGCTGCTGAAACATTTTCTTGTTCAACTGGTTGCAACACAAGGACAAGTCATAATCAGTCCACTTAAAGTGAAACATTTTACACTTAAAAAGTCAACTTTTCCACCCAGGACACATTTATTTACAGTTTTTTTTTTTAAATATATCAGTTCTAACTTAACCATTCAGGATTAAGTACAGACGCATATTTATATCATTGTTCTGACTTCTGAGTGATTTGTCGTAAAAACTAAGAAAAAGTTTTATTTTGCTAACTCTTCCATAAAGCTCATGTTTGCACTGACGCTTGCAGGGAGCTCACCCTCTCCAACAAATCTGATCAGTCATGAAGTTTTTCGAAAGTCAAACAGAAATTTTGATTTGTCTCTCTGTCAATCGTACAGGCAGCCCTCGGAGATGATTTCTTTCAGTTTACAGACCTTAACTTGACCTCCATCATACCATTTCATAATTACATAACACACTGAGGGTAAAGATGCCAGAAAACACTTTGCTGTCCACTCAAAGCCTTCTGCTGTTCTGTGACTATCAATTATTTATTTTGTAAGCTGCTGGGGGGAATTGCTTGCTGTTGAAACATCTTTGAGAAGACAGTGTTTTAAAAAAGTTTGAGATTTGCTTCATGTGACCTGTCCTCATGAAGACTGAGCAAGCTTCAGTTGTAATCAGTGCATGAGGATATTGTTTCTAAATCCACAATTTGTGTGTTCAAATAGCATTTCATTCTTTTCTTTTATTCACTTATCTAAATGATAAGAGAATGGAAATGAAAACTAATAAGTAATTAAAGGTACACTGAATTGTTTTCATACAATTTCAGCTTTTAAAGTAATTTTGAACAGAATTGGTTAAACCTTTACAATAAGAAAGAAAGAAAGAATACAATCATATAAAAATGATTGATGCATGAAAAGGTGCAAGAAGAGACATTTTGAAAAGGACAAACCATAAAGTAAATTACTAATAAAAATGTATTGAAAAGATTCAGAAACACATGACGAAGACAAAAGAAAAGTCGTGAGCAGCATCCTCCAAGAAAAAGTTACATAGCTTTTGCTGCATTTCAATTTCTTGGTGACGCACAGAAATAAATAAAAAAACCATTTAGATCAGATCAGATTTCCATAACTTTGACATGTTTCAAGATTCTCTAAACAAAACGAAAACTTGATTTTTCTTCAGTCTGCTGAGCGACTGAGATAAAAAATTGTGCGGTGGCAGCAATGTTTTGTAGCTGATTCTCTTCAGAGGACTGCAGTGATTTACCTGCTATTTTTGCAAATGCTCATGTGCCCATAAAGATATAAATTATAACCTTGTCATTACATTTTTGTCAAAATGTTTGATGAAATTCAAAAACATATATTATTTTGAACATGAAAAAAAAAAGACTCTTTGAGGACGTAATGAAGAATTAATATCTTACCTGCAGCAGATAGCTCTTTGAACAACCTCAGAGTGTAATATTGAACAGCCTCATGAGCTAACAGCTAATGTGAGTAGGACATGGGATAGCTACCATCTTATAAAAAAATCCAAGCAGTTAAAGGTAACTCTTTTTTACAAACCTTTACGTCATTATCAGTTTCACAAAAAAATATATTTACATCAAATTTATGTTTATTTTCAAACATTAATAGCAACAGCTACTGTCTGTGGTGCTTATAATGCGACTCGGTGAACTTCCACCAGAAATATCTTAATAATTCTGCCAGAACGAACATATAATACAAAACTGACAGTAGTGTCAAGGATTATAATATAACATTTATATGCACTACTATTAAAATTAAGAGACTGTACTAATTTCAAAATGACAACAATCCACTTGGGTCCCATTCAGAAATAGCTCATTAGTCTGGTCAAAGTCAAACTCTGCTTCTTAAAAAGAACTCATTCACAGAGCGACCATTGAGTAAGATATTTGTCCTAAACCTTGAACCCCACTTCAAAAAGCCTGAAATAGTACTTTATGTTTGTGAAAGATATGTTGTGGCTCACTTTGTTCTTGTGCATCACTGTTGTCGAGTGTAGTCTCACACAAAAACCCCATTAAGAATTTACTCAGCCGGTTTACCTGAAATTGATGAATGAGATTAGGAAGACAATGATCAAAGCCACTGTAACGCAGACATGTAAGTACTTTAATCAACTCTCGAGTGTTAACAAGGTGGTGCAATTTTAATAAGCTCACTAAAATCATCACTTTACACTGTGCTCTCCCTTGCTTAAAGGTCTGGACAGAATTACTGGAGCTTAACGGTGTGTGTTCAGTCAGAGCCCCACTAATAACATGCAGCACTCTCTAATAGGAGCTTTAGTGAAGATATATGTGTATCAAACGACTGGGGTGGCTCTGGCGCTTTATCAAAGACCAATGACTTCATTTTTTTCTCCTGCCTGAAGGTTGAACTGCAGCCAGCTTACTTTATGTGTCCAATCCTCGGGCTATTGACTATCTGAGACAGCCAACCATCAATTACTCCACTCAGATAGAGGATGACTCTTTAGCTGCTGGTTCCCTTCTGTTCTGTCTTTTTGCACTTGTCCTAATCGCTCGCTTTCCCACACACTGACACATTGTTTTGGTTAACCCACCGTTTTTAGACGGCCTTTGTGTCTGCAGGCTGCATATTTTAGATCGAGCTGTGTATCGTTGAGCTTCAGGTGGCAGAAGCTTAACTCTGCAGCAAAAGTTTCTAATCCAGTGTTTTACAAAGCTTCTTGATAGTTTGACTCGTGCTGCAGAAAGAAACTTGCATGTAAATAGTCCACCGTGTCATTGATCACTAAGACCCCCACCCCCACCCCATTATTTCACTGTTCTTTAAGTTTAACAATTTCTATAGATTTTCCTTTTTTTTCCCCCCCTCTATCTTTGATTCTCCTTCACTCATTCATTTGAATGTCATTCCAGGAATGTAAGAAAGGGATAAGCAGAAGAGGGATAAGGGATGGATCAGCAGATGACATGAAAAGAATACGTGCGCGGGATATGAACACACACAGAGCAAAGCAACAGCGCACAAAGGATGAGCAAAAAAGATAGGGGAACGATGCATGAGCCAAATAAATCATGAATCATCACTATTACACATAAATTATTTAAAACACTTTACTTCATCACACTTTTCTTAGTCAAACTGTAGGTTTGTTTTTCTTCCAGCCCCCTGCAGACCATGTTTCCCCAAGCAGCAAGTCCTGACATTTTCAGTCTCCTGCTTTGAATTGCATAACAGCCCCTTCGGACTTGTTGCTGATTGGTATACACACATAAGTTTGTGCACTCTACGTTCATGTGTGTGGCGGTTTGTGAGGAGGGCAATGGGCCGTACTCCCTGAGGAAGCAACAGAAACATGATCGATATAAGCTACTGAACAGCAATCGAAAGTATGGATTCCTCAATCCTTTAGACTGTGTTTGCAAGAGTGTGTGTTTTTACACTGGTGTGGATGGGAAAGTAGCAAAACCAAAAAAGAAGACAAGAAACAATAAAGGTTTAGTTTAATTGTACCCAGTTTGATCAACTTCATTAGTCCTTTATTTGTAAATAGATAACTCTTTACAAACCGTGCAGTGGAACACATTTTATCTGCACGCCAAAGCTTTATGATCAATCCCTGACAATTTGTTTGATGATTTGGAAAGGTGTAAATGTTCAGCCCAATCATCTTTGCTGGCCTGGACTGTTTTAGTCTGATGGATGATCTGATGGAACAAGACCAGCAAACAGTTGTCGGATAATGTGATCTACAATTAGTGATCTCGACGAGTGAATGGCTTCTTGGACCAAGAACATAGTAAGACTGGCAAACTTTAGCACCAAATGTAAAGAAAAGGTAAAAGAATAATCAATATCTAAACAGCCATATCCAGTCATAAAATTCTAGAGTGGTCACACATTCTGTTAAAGAGCAACAAATCTATGATTTATAAAATATGTTGGTTTGAAGAATACAACATGAACTAATGTTTCACAGACCACTGATGTTCATTTGTAGGAAAAAGTCAAAATCCCCAAGTTTCAAGTTGTTAAAAAACAACTGGAACGCCTCCTAAAGACACCATTTTAATTCTGAATATTGAAGAGTACATGCAGCAATGAGGTAATCTTACTGGTTCTCTGAGTTGTAAATGGAACCAAATAAGTGCAACAACATATAAGTCCTGGGTGTTCATAAAGTTTCAACTCATCAGCATATTATTACATGATCTGTTGTTTTAATGTGGAGCCCATGTGCAGACAGACACATGAGAAATAGTGATGAGATGGTGGAAACGATGGAGGAACAGAACGTGACAGGCTTCCATTGCAATCCATGGACAAAGGAAAAGCAGAGATGCTGAATATACAGGGAGACTAATGACAGGAACGACAAACACCTGGGGTGATTTGAATTGGAGACAGGTGCGGCAGGAGCTGAACAACAAGGAAGAAAAACACTGGGGAGTGCAGGAAACAAGGATTAAAGAAATTATCAAACAAAAACACAGATTCCCTCAATTATGAGTTCCTTTGGGTCAAACTTCAATAATTTCCCTATCTTACCATGTTAATAGATGATAAGTGCTGTTGTGTGACATATAAGGGCTCATGAAAAAAAAAAAAAAAAACAGCAGTGTCTCTAAAGAGAATTTTTTTAAGTCAAAACAAATGTGAAAAATTGTTTAGCAGCTAAAAGTATGTTTTAGTTTTAAGTGTTTTGCTATATGGAGTACAGTGCATGTCTTAATTATTGTAGATGAGTTCTGTAAAGATTTGTGTGAAGAAAAGATGACTTCAGAATGGACCATGAAGTGAGCTGTGGTGAAAGATAAATCATCTGAATCTGTTTTCATCAGGGGTGGAGGTAACAAATTACAAATACTCACATTACTGTAATTAAGTTGATTTTTTTGGTTGCTTGTATTTTTATGAGTATTGCTTTCAAGTGTGTAATTTTAGTCATACTTAAGTACATTTTAGACCATAATCAACTCTGTTACTTTTAAAATCACGAGTTGCTGAGTACGGCAGCAATTTGAATTAATATTCAAACCGTTCATCTGCATCTTTGTAGCCAATAAGGCTCTCAGATCACGGACGCACCAATTACCTATGACGTGAACAAAGGGCAACTCCGTAGAGTCATTTATGGACCGAAGATTTGGAGAAAAAGCCAAAATGGAGACAGAGGACAACACTGTCAACAGAGAAAATGATGAGGTGAAGGCTGAGGACGAGCGCCCGTGGCCGTACCTGGAGGAATGTTTCATGTACAGAGGGTGAAAAGGAGACAGAGTCCAGATGCAAACTTGGTTTGATGTCTACGGTGACAACAGCTTACAAGACTTCAGCATCTATTCTCAAAAACCATATTGTGATATATGAGGTTTTTATGATATTGCTTTTTTATTGTTTGTATGTGTGGGTTATTAGTTTAGGTAAGTATGCAAAGATCTCAGATATTGTCACTGCCATCGGTTTGCCTGGTGCTAAAATAAGACGGAGCTTCTGAGCGTCTGAGAAATGAGCTTTGAATGTAGCGATTATATACAGTAAACCAAACTGAATGCCTTCTATTGACAACACAATTAAACATCAATTGGTTAAAAAGTAATTAATACGCTAAGTAGTTTTTGAGAAGAGTACTTTGTTCTTTTACTTAAATATTTTTACAACAACAACACTTTTACTTGTAACTGAGTGCAATTTAAGCAGTGTAACAGTATTTGAGTACATTTTTTCAGTACTCTTTCCACCTCTGGTTTTCATCCATTGTCAAATGGAATATTTTTTTCTTTCAAAGTTTAGTTGAGACCCTAAAAAGTGCCTTCTTTGTGAGGCGTTAAGGTCCATCCATCAGAAATGAACAGTCTGTGGCTGAGATGATCAGTCTTTTCTACAAAGTACCTTCTGGCCACATGAAAATTTTATTTTCAAATAAAAACCAAAATTTCATTTATTTATCAAAAAGATGGTAGAAACAACAGCCATTTTCATATTTTATTGGGAGCTGTCAGTGTCTTCCTGTAATCATTTGTTTCCAACCACAGAGTTAATGAGCAGCTGTGTTTACAATAATTGATGATTTTAGAGGAAGAAGTTTTATCTCAACGCCAGGTTCTTTCCAATCTTGTCTAAATGACTTTAATAAACTGTTAAACCGAGATAGCTGAAGAAGTTCACATCAGTAAATATTTTATACAACAGATATACCTGTACAGGTAGTACAGATAGTCATTAGTTGCCAAAACTGCAATGGTGTCTTCCCATAATATGCACAAGTTTGTATAATAATATTGTATGAGAAATGTACAGGTTTGTTTGCTTTGTATGTAATATTAACAGTGACAAACGGTGGAAGAATGGAAATCATTTAAGTATCTGTAGGTGTCTGTTGCCACAACTGCTTAACCTTTATTAAACACTTATTAGTTTTATTTGAATAGTTTTTTCACTGCTGTATTATTAATTTTATCCTTAATTTTTCAGATTTGCATTTCGTTTCAGCCCTTTTATAAACGCAGTTATCTTTTTTCTCTCCAACATAACTAGAGGCTGGGTTTACAAACTAACTTGGTGTTTTTGAACCATGAAAACAAATAAAAAAATGCATGTTTAATCAATGTACTGATACGCATGTGCTTGGAAGTAAAAAACATTAAATTTAGCACACAAAGAGAGTGCTTTCTAAATCACATTGTACTTTAATGAACCAAAACCTCCAACTATCAGCCTTTATCGAGAGCCACTGCGCACCCTGAGCCAATCGTGCTTCAACCTACACACACAGATGCACAGACCGACCTTTGAGCAATGCAGTGAGGATAGCAAGGTCAATGTCCTGATGACCCTCTGAGCCCATCCGGAAAACTGTTATCTGGGAGACAATGAGAGAGAAATAAAAACAAAGAGAAAGAAACACGAGTGAGTGTCTGTTTTCTGCACAAGCAAAACTGCCAATAAGTGTCATTTATCTGGATCCATTCTGTTGTGGCTCCAGCAAGTGTATGAAGGCTTACAGCACAAAGAAATTCAATCACAAAGAGAAATTCAGCTGCACTGTGTGGGAGTGCTTTCGTTAGCTGGATTAAAGTGTTTCACTACAAACACTGCGGCTGAGAGAGGAGACGAGAGGAATTGATCTGAAGTGCTGTACTACATCCCCTTGCTGGACTCTCTCCTATACCCTCTCTTTTCTCCAGAGCAAAGGACGCCACCAGGCTCTCACACAGCTCCTCACTGAGGGGAGGGCAAGAGGGAATTAGCTGTGATGGAACGTGAGAGAAGCAGCAATAAAAGCAAAACAAAGGAGGACATCAAAATGAATATGAACTGTCGGTGCTCGCCTTTACAATCGAAAGTTCATTTCTTTCTCGGTTTCTGACAGCTTGAAGATTGAGCTGATGGGAATGATTATACTTTTATGATGTAAGTTTAGGTTTTCATCCGTGAGGCATCATTTAGATGATATGTTGTGTGAGATAGAGTAATGTTAAAGAGGGACATTTGAGAATTAATGCAGCATTTTGGGGGATTTTTGAGGCACATCCAGGTACTCACGTGTGTGGGCACAGATGTTCATACGTCTGAATGTGTGAAGGGCACCTTGTGGGAGCTGTGTATTGAAGAATGTGTGATCTGAATGTGTAATGAGCTATTCCTCTAATCCTTGCTTCCATCCATCTCCTCCCGCCTCCGTCCCTGCAGCCCCCCCTGCTCTAAATGGCTTCATTTTGTGGAGCTTCAGGAATCTGCAGGCTCTGCATCTGCATTTGTTGTTGCCTCCCCTGGGCAATGCTGCAGCGTTAACCCTCCTCTTCCTCACTCCATCGCCTCGTCTGTTTTCATACGGTCCAGGAACGAAACATAGTGTTGATTTCCAGGATCACTGGAGTCTCTTTCATGATTGGCACGTTTTTTTGTATCTGATGACATGCTGTCTGTACTTAGGAGAAAAATTAAATCTAAAGCATTTGTTAAAATCTAAAACAGTTTATATAATTTTATCGGTATGAGTCGTGGTCACATGCCAACCTAATAAGAGTTTTCCGCCAGATGAAACTAAAGCACAATTAGATGTGTAGGTAACAATTATTGATTTTACACAGGGATATTAAAGCATTGTTGAAGAAGAGTGTAATTTATTTATTTCATTATCCTGCATCACACAGTACAGATGCATCTAAAAAATTAGAATATAGTGAAAATGGTCCTTTTTTGTTTTGCTTTGTCAATCACTTCAGAATGAAACTCATTTATTTTATATACAGTATTTATTACATAGAGTGTATGCCTTTATTTCTTGAAATTTGATGATTATGTCATACAAATAATGAAAAAACAAAACCCAGTGTCTCAGAAACAGAATATTCCACAACCAACTTCTGGTTCTTTTGTCAGTGTGGGCAGGAGCCAAGTCCTGCTGGAAAATGAAATCGTCATCTCCATAAAGCTCGTCAGCAGAAGGGAGCATGAAGTCTCTAAAATGTCCTGGTAGATGCTGCGCTAACTGTGCACTTCAGAAAATCCAGTGGACCAACACCAGCAGAGAACATGGACCCAAACCATCACTGACTGTGGAAACTTCACTCTGGACTTCAAGCAACGTGGATTCTGGACCTCTCCACTCTTCTGAAAAGAGGACATTGAGCCACTGAGCAAGAGTCCAGCTCTTTGTCTCCTCAGCAGGTACGACCCTTCTGATGTTGTCTCTGGTTCAGGAGTGGCTCGACTTGAAGAATGAGACATTTGTAGCTCATGTCTAGGAGTTCAACAGCTGATCAGGGTGTGACACCAGGAGTTTATTGAACCTCTTTACTATATTCTAATTTTCTGAGACACTGGAGTTTGGTGTCATTATCTGTAAACTATGAACATCAACAATACAAGAAATAAAGGATTTAAATATTTCACTTTGTAAAGAATCTATATAATATATGAGCTTCACTTTCTGAAGCGATTGACCAAAAAATATTGAACTTTTTCACAATATTCAAATTTTTTAGATGCACCTGTATGTCTGCGGGCGTTTAAATGCATGAACAGCAAACGGGATTATCCCTTGCTACAATGCATCATTCCCATTTGTCTTGCAGATATTACACAAAAGCATATTTTGCGTGCCATCTGATGAACTCAGTGTGCAAGTCATTTTTATATTACTCTTATGTGCTATCATGTAGTGCATTGAAAAGGGCAAACTATATTCATTAAATGGTGATTTTTGTACATGATCAGGTGGATAAACAAGGAAAAATAGTCAAAGACACAATGTTTGCCGCCATATTCATGAACTTGCCTAATTTATTCATCTGGTGCAGATAAATTGTGTGGTTATTCCCACTTGTTTTTTTGTTTTTTTTTTGTAGCTGACTGGGGACTTCCTCTACACACATTTGTTTGCACACACACACAGCGAAAGGGTTTTTGGCTTCCTTCAGGACAAAGATAGATTACAGTGTGGCGTCAGAATGATGATTATAGTCGTTGTTCCCATTTGTTTCTACTCTCCTCTCTCAACTCAAGCTTCAAAATGCATATTTCCACTCCTGTCCTTCCTCCCCATCATCTGTTACAACCACTTATCTTGCAACACCTCCCACTCTGGCATCCTACTCCAGCCTCCAATCCTGTCTCTGTTCTTCCTCTCTTCTTCGTCACTGTTCAGTTCCTCTAATTATACCCTCAAGGTGACCCTGTGGATATGTTCTACCTGTTATCACAGAGGCTGGACGAGCACAAAGTTGAGCCGCACATCCTCTGTGACATTGCAATTGTGCTGGTTTAATCTCAACAGTCCCTTGGAGAGTCATCAATAAGTGGGAGTGCAATGTAAACAGACAGCTTCTCTCTCTTTTATTGTTTCATCCAGAGCAAAAGGACTCAACAGTACTTATTGTAAACAAATAGGCTGTGAGCTGTGGTGGATAAGAAAGGGCAGCTTCATTGTTATCACCAGCTGTCAAAGGGCAAAAGCGGACAATAATGTTTTGCCCATGTCTGTGCATGTGTATGTGTTTTTATGTATTTCTGATACAAAATATCTCATGAACCACAGGACAAAATAAAAGAAACTGCAGAAAATAAATAGTGCATCTAAAGGTGATTACCGTATTTTTCGGACTATAAGGCGCACCGGATTATAAGGCTCACTTTTATTTTTTGAGAACATTAAAGGATTTTACGTGCACTTTATAATCCGACAAACATGATACCTTTTAGAATTAATCTGATACTTGATGGCTGCCACAACCAACTCACCCCATAACGCAAAGATAGTTATGACTTGGTAAAGGGGACAGAAACTTACTTGAAATTTAATGTAGCCTGTGCTGTTCACCAACACATAGTTTGAATGCCAACAGATTGCCAAGGTCTTTGTTTGAAATCTTGCATCTATTTGGAGTTGAATGTCTGATACTAAACTATCTCATAAATAACTAGAAGGATTTTTATTATATGAAATTTTCAGGAATTAACATCAAAGTTCATGTTCAATAATCCAGGTGGAAAATCCTACAAAGTTCAGTCAGGTCACCTGGACGGTTTATTTTTTTGTGACTGAACTTTGTTGGATTTTCTACCTGGATTATTGAGCATGAACTTTAATCTTTTGAACCACTTAGGCTATGGCTGCCTCAGAGGAGTAGACAGCGGAGAGTGTGGGCCCCAGAAACCACATGGGACTGAGTTTGTTGATGTGTGGCTCCTCGGACTGATGAAGTCCTTTGGATAATGAACGAAACATCTCAACAACAAAAAGAAGAAACCGTCCAGATGACCTTATTGAACTTTGTTGGGTTTCAGGAATTAACCATTTAAAGTACCTTTTTGTCTGATTAACTTTTAGTGCCAACCCAATTCAAGGTGGCTGTCAGAGGGAACCGACCTAGAAAACACAAATATTGACATCGTTCAAACAATTTTTACAAATACTATGTGAAAATATGGTGTTGAAGCCGAGAGTCTTTCACCACATTTACTCCTAAGTGCTGCTCATTGTATTGTCACAAGAGTTTTTGCCCAAAGCTTTTGTCAGGATTGTTGTTTTTGTTTACTTGCTGGTATTAAGGTCGTTAAGGTCGTTTCTAGTTTGCTTATTTTTCAGTGTGTTCGGCGTTTAGGTTTTGGTTCTGTTCCTCTGTATTTCCTTGTGTCTTCAGTACATTTGCCCTCTACCATTCCTGTGTCAGGATTTTTCCCATGCCAGTCAACCTGCCATGCCCATCTTAACCTGTTCCCTGTTTCACCAGCCACAGCTGCAGCCACTCTTCCCATCAGCCCAGTTCATATAGTCCTTTTGTTTCATCTCACCCACCAGCCCTGCTTTATTTTTTTTATGCTCCATTTGGTTGTCTTTGGGCCGGCTCAAGCCTCCATGTGGCATTCACATTTTTAGGTCCAACTTTATCTAAACCATGATAACTTTAGTGTTACCTGTTGGTAAACCATCTCATGAACAACTGGCATGAAAGATAAAGTGGAAAATGCAATTCATCTAGGATGGTAGGTTTGTAATATTTTTTTCTTCATATTTCAATTGCATTTTGAAATAAATAATTAGAGAGAGGTGGGAATTTATTGGAGTAAACATGTACTGGAATAGATATTAGCAAGCAAAAAAGAGGTAGTAAAAGAGGTGTGTCCTCAGTAAATAAAGGCAAGAGCAGTAAAATTGTTGACAAATAGGCAGTGGGAAACATAAAAGCCTACTGTGCTATCTTTCTGAGTGTGACCAGGTTTTGTCGAAGGATTTCTCCATCTACAGAGGTTGTAATTTACCGCCGTTAAAGATGGAGCGCAGATGGAAAACTGCACTTCACACTCCAATGAATCAGACTCATTGCACACTGTTTATTGTCATTTCATGGGCAAAGA